CTAACTATTCCAAAAAATACAGTATAGTATGATGATTTGAAGAAGATTGGATATCTATGCCATTATGATATATGAATGCCCCATACTTTATCAGAGCCAAATAGTCTTGCTGAAGTTTTGGCATGTATTGCTTTGCTGGAAAGAAATTTGAAACAGTTCCTTGCTAGAAATGAGAAGTAGATACTATTATTGAAGGAGTTAAAGCAACAAGAATCAGTGTAATATTCATAAATTTGCAATACTAGTTCCGAAGATTTAAATATAGAAAGAACCTTCTTCTTTAGCTCCCAAAATGCAAATGATAAAAGAGAAGCCAGTGATAAGATAACATGATAAGAATGGGAGCATGATAAGAATAAGGACTTTTTATTACAAAGTTATGCATTTGTAATATTTGTAGCAGAAAGTATAAATATTCATTTAATGGAAAATGCATGCTGGTGATTATCCTAATGTGCCTAAAATAGTAAAGAAATACCTTTCTCCACTTTTTATAAGCATATTTATTGTGACCAACTGTTTTCAAAAGCACTTGATAAAAAGGGGTGCCATGGAATTTTAATGAAAATTTAATTTTACACCATAATTTTATTAATTCTAAAAATGTCAAAAATGTATAAATATCCAGTAATAGAGCCTTTATTTTATAGAATTGATAAATTTTGTTTAGGGAAAAAATAAAGAATTTTGTCTTGTTTTTAATTTTAAAATAAATAAAATTAAATTAAAGCCCTGAAATTAAACAAAAAAGTTGTTAAGAACATTTTATTTTCAAATCTGTTTAATTTAATGGATATCTTACATCTAGCTCAGATATGTCAGATATTCATTGCATCTCTTAATTAGTAATATAATGTTCTTAAATTACTTTCCATACAGTCAGATTTGTCAATTCACCCTATAGATAAGAAATTATTGATTTTTGATAGCACTCCCAGCAGCCTGATTTACAGCATAATTCTTTTGACTTTCTCTTATTCCTAAAATTTTGCAATATTTATTGATTGAGCTTAATATTTCGTTATTTTCATATAAAAACATTATTTCCAGTATTTAAAATCATTTTCTTTTTCTTCTGATTACTCATATCTATAAAAAGAAAACCATTTTGTTAGCCACTATTGCTATGTGTGGGGGAACAGAAGTGTCTGAAAACATTATGAGCTAGGTCTCCAATGGGTTGATCTGATTCATGTCAGCCATTGAGCATGAAGTAAAACTGAAACGACCCTCTGATTTCTGGTATACCATTAACCATATGGTAGAGAGACGGTGCCCGCATTCTCCCATCACTTTCTTACTCACTTTGCACATCTGATTTGGTTTGTTTAGTTGCGGCACAGCCCTCAAGGGCTATCTTCCTAAGGGAAGGTATGCCTTCATGGAGGACTTTCTGAAGGAACTGGCTCATATACATGGAACACATGAGGAAAACCATGAAAACACCCAGGCAGCCAGCTTGTTCAGCAGGATTCAAACCCAGACTGAAGTACCAGTGTTGACTTTACTACTTGGCCGCTGTTAGGTCATGTGTGTAGGACCAGTTTAGTTTTAATGAGATCCTAAGCTACGATATGGAACCCTTTATGAGAGATATGAGATATTGTTTTTTCTTAATATGGGAATATAGTACAATTTTTGAAGGTGGGGGCCCTAAGCTGTAGCTTGTGCAACTTAAACATAAATCTGTCAGTGCATGCATGCCTGATGTTGCTAAACAGTGTAAGCTTTACAACTACTGTCTCAAATGCTTTTATTCTAAGCCAATTCATAGAGAACAGGAGTGAAAGAAAGAATGTAGAGATGGGCTTAACTAGTAAGGATCGAGGGCAAGATTCAAACAGGATTCATTTGTGCTAGTGACATTGTAGAGTGCAGCTGAAGTGTAGAATCTTGAGAATTTAAGAAATGAAACTTGAAAACTTGAGGTATTCTTTTTAAAGAAAATTCCTCATTTGTTTTTGTAATTTAAGGTTAATTTTTCAGAATCAGACCATTTGCAAGTAACAAATTCATTTATTTTTGTTATTTAAGATTTTCAGTGCTAAAAATATTATATTATAAAAACATTTAAAGTCTCTGCTGCACAAATAAATTTCAAAACAATTAAATGTGTCCAAAAACAAATGAGATTTCCTGTAGGTATTTCATAGCAAACAGGTTGGAATATTTTTTGTCGTATGTTCGCATAGTTTAGCATTATTTATTCCAAAATCTCTACTGCAACCAAAATTGTCACATTTACATTATATCAGTTGCATAATTTTAATTTATACAATAATTTCATTTATTGCATACAGAGCCAGTCCCAGAGCTTGTGCAACATGTATAGCTGCACTAGGTGGCAGAATTTAGGGGTGGCAAAATGAGTTAAAATTTAGGGAATTACTGGAAGGCAGATTCTGTGAATCAAAGGGATTGCACCAGGCAGTGGAAAGTCTAGTGCCAGCATTTGTTGCATAGTTACTGCTACGAGGTTTTGATCACAGCTGCAGGAAGCTTAAAATAAGAAATTGGAAATCTTACAAAACCAGGCCTGGTGAAGACTACCCCCATAAATGTAATGCTCCTTTTTAATTTCAACAGATCTATTAAAGTTATTAACAAAGCGAAAGACTTCTTTTTCAGAAATTAAAGAGAATTAGGATTCCTTTTTGGAATTGTTACAAAAATGACCACAGGAATCTTATAACCCCAGATGGATTCCTCTGGAAGGTGATGAAACTTAGATCGGTCTAAAAAAAAATTAGACTTTTCTGAAACCCTGTAGACCTTTGGACTTGATTTGGAAAAATATCAATTTGAATCTCATTCAGTGTAGTTTCAAAAATTAAACATCTCAAGGTACTTTAAAAATTTTGGCCCTTGAGACTATGCATACACCTTATCCTAAACCTGTCTGCTTTCTCATCTATACAGACACTTACTTTATTGAGGGTTCTCTAAATGCCGAGTGTGGGAAATTTTTCCACCCAGTTTATGTTTTACATACTAAAGGGTGCATGGAGAACTGCTTTTGATGGTGAGGTAATGGCTATTTGTGTGACCCTAAGACAGATTAATGCCCTAAATTTCAGATATGACAAAGTGGTCATCCTCTCGGACTCCAGGGCTACAGGCTATTGGATGAGGGGTCTATCGAACCTCCAAGGAAATCCTTGAATGACACCACAATGGATTTTCGGTCATTGTGGCTTTTATGTTAATGATCAGACCAATAATCTTGCAAAAAAAGGTACAGAAATTATTCGAAAGATATCTACAAATCGTACTTACCATTCTGTAAAACTATGCATTCATAAATTTTGTAAACAAAAATGGGGAGGTGAACTTATGACATGTATCTCAACCAAGAGCGGGAGGGGCATCTATCTTGGAAAGGAAATTACTTGAGACACTAAGGGTAATTGCTGTGGCCAGTTTTAGCTTTAAAATTGGTCATAGCTTGGTGAGCTATCTATATCATTTTTGTATTCCAACCAATCCAAACTGACCAATTTGCAGCTTAAATAAAGAAAAGGACCAGACCCACATTGAAAGGTGCTCAGCACTGCATAGAGTTCCTGAGGTGGAGAGGTATTGGAACGCTAGGAGGCCAAGTGATGAAATATTGGCTTTTTATGTTATATGTTATCAAAGTTCTGTTTATATTATATTTATATTATTATGTGTCATTGGAAAGAAAAAACATAATAATAATTTCATTTGTGGATTAGTAACATGATATGGAGTTGCATGAAAATATGAAAAACCTGTATAACAGACTTATAGAAAATGTTTGAAAATATAAATATACATCTTGACATAAATGTTTGGTGAAATCTGGGAATTATAATTAAATAATTATATCAATTATACAGTGTAAAAAGAGTATTTAAAATTTAACTTTATTTTCTCACCATCACAGGTCTTATATGTACTAAATTCATTCAAGTTATATAAACAGAAATAGCAACAGTTAATTAAGTTCAGTATTCAAGATCTTTGTTCCACTTCTGCTCTTTTCAGTGAAATTTACAAGATGGCTAAAATCAAAAGGCTCTGGTTTGAGTTTAAGACAGTAATGTTTCTTATGATTGTTGAAGTTGTTTAATGACCTGCATTTTTCTTTTTTTTTTTTAACTGTGGGAAAAATACTTGTATACTTTTCATAAACTATAAACATATGATGTACTTTATGTTATCTCATCGTAATGGGTGTAAAATATATTTTTACAATGTGTACCATTTGTCATTATGATTTTTTGATTTTAAATCATGGAAGAGCAATGTACAAAGCATGTGTATGCATAAAAATATAAGTACAATGTAAATTGTACTAAAAAGAAGTGAAAACTTAATTTTTTCTGTGGAAACAGAGGATTAAAAAAAAAATGCTTATTCTCTACATTTTTGCTTGAACACAGTTTGCTGCTGTATACTTCACATGATATTGAGGTTTATTTATAAAAATGTTTCTTTATAGCAAAATTGCTAAGAAATATTCATGTGTAGGAACAAAAACAACTGCAGTTATGAAAGAAATGGGTGAGAAAAATAAATCTTCAGTAGTTGACTGCTTTAGTCCAGCTCCTGTCTATCTTTTTCAGATCAAAGCAATAAAAAATTGTATCTAATTATTGTTAGTCTGTTTTTAATCCTTTGACTTCAGAAACTGAGTATAGTATACTTTGTGTGCCCAGACTTATATAAAACATATTTAATTATTAAAATTTGAAGGAGATGGCAATTCCTCTAGATAATTGCTTAGTTCTTAGTGCAAACCATGCACCAGTAATGGTAAACTTGAAGACTGCCATTATTGCATTTACCTTTAAAAAAAAGGAAAGAAAATAATTTTAGTTTTCTTTCGAATTATTAAAATTATTCCTTTGTTTAATATGCAACTAATCGGAAAATAGTATATATTATATTTTGAATTCTTGTTGCTTTCATTTGTATTTATTGCAGAAAACTTTGTCAGCATGAATTAAATTAATTTTGTAAATCCCTTTTTTTAGAGCATAGAGAACAGCTTTCTATTACTATGGAATCCTTTAGTAAAATTTCGGCCAAAATAAATGGTAAGTACCTTTATATTCCCAAACTTTAAAGAAATACTTTTTTTTAAGTTGATAATACAAATGTTTAAATTATTCTGCATAAATTAAATATTTAACCCTTTTTTTTTTTTTTTCATTTTAAGATTTTTTAAAAATGTACATTTAGAGATATTATCTTTTCATAGCAGTTATGACCATGAACATGAGCATATGTGCTTAATCTATGGCATTTTCAAATAAGATAGATGAGTGTGTTCTTCATTTTATTTCCTATTTTAATCCTCTGAGGCCAGACATTTCAGAGCAGATTATGATTAAGACAACCTTAATTCCTGTAATTGTTAATTTTTAATTGATCATTAAAGAAAGTAAGAAAACATAATGTGGTACTTTTCCTTTATCTGCCTGCAAATCTGTCAGTCATATCTCATTATGTTTAGGCTATATCTTATTGTATACTTGAATATCATATAACATCTTATAATATGCTTGCTATACCTTTAGTAAAAGGCGAAAGATTAGCTCACATGATGAAGAAAAACCAGATATCTTATGATACATGTCTTGTCTGTCATGATTTATTTGGAGAAAGAAGCAAGCAGGAGGAATTATTTTGATTCCCTTATACAGGCAACAGGCAAACAGTTTCCACCTGAAATAGACACTTAACTGACATGAGTAATGGCCCTTCTACCTTTTTTATAACTAAATTTATTTTTCTCATTGTCTTATTATTAATTATTATGTGTTATTATATCATATTATTTATTCTTATGATTTTTATGATATTGTGGGCAGATAAAGGAGAATTACCCAAAATGTTTCCAATTGCAAATCAATTTACACACCCAAAATGTTTTCAATTGCAAATCAATTTATACAGATTTGTAACAAATCACTTAACCAAATAAAAGCAGCCTTGATGCTCAAACAGTTATCAAACATTACGGCTTTACAATTAATTCATTATAGCTTTTCATCAAAAAGAGGAATTATTCTATAATAAGTGTATGTATTTCAATAACAGTATTCCTATGTAATTAACTCTATCTAATAATAAAAGTGTATTTTTCATTTCACACACATCTATTCTTTCCTGCTTGACACTTTAAGTGGCCAAGTTTAGTTAAGTTTACAAGTACTTAAGATTTTGAAAAATACTGTTGAAAGTCTTGTAATCTATGGTTTAATAATATGTCAGTTTTTTTTCTTTTAGCACTTATTTTATTGATTATTATTTTTCTTTTTTTTTAATTTATTTACAGTGAGTAGAAAAGGTTGTCGTGATGTAAAAGAAAAGCTAACAGCCAGTAAGAAACTCTTAGAATGTAAACGAGATGAAATTAGGAGACTTTGGTCTGAGTCTGTAGAACATAAAGAAGTTATTAGTATGTTGAAAGAAATGTAAGAATAACCGTAGAAGTACATTATCTCTGAAAGAAGTTATGTACTCTTTTCTTGTCTTGCAGTATTTATATAATTTATTTACTGTTTTTTTACCATAGTGAAGATTTAAAGAAAGTGAGAGAGAAGGTTGATGATCACTTAGCAAAGAAAAATTTTTATGAAGCAACTGAATTGTTGGTTTCTTCAAGTAAGTTCATTGCACTCTTTATACACATATTTTAATTTTTAGCTCTAATTTTTTCTATTGTATTTGAATCATTTATCTTTTTTTTTTTTTCTCTTTAATCTCCACAGCATCTTTGTTAAAAGGGAAATTAGCATCAGTTGATGCTCTTAAAGATCTTAAAGCAGAGCTAAATATATTAAAAGAGACGTTACATGAAGGATTAGTTGAAAAGCTTCACAAGCATTTATATATGTCTCCTTCAGGTGTATTTTTAAGAAAAAGCAATGATGGAGTGAATAAAAAGAGCTATGAAGGTTAGTATGCTTGAATAATAATAATATAGTACAAAATCTGAAATTCAGATATCCAAGGTCTGGACCATTATCACCCTCTTCTACTTCTTGTTTTTTTTTTTTTCCCCCTAATCCAGTCCAAGGGGGCAATTTGCCTTTGAAGGACTATTAATTTCATTTTGGCATTTTGCATCGAAAACTATAAAAGGCTATTTTTCAAATCATTGCCACCGTATATTATCACCCTGTTTTATATTTAAAGAAATTAAATAATGAAAAATTTACATAAATGTATGTATTTTTCTTGCATTGTGATAAAACAACTGTACCTAGAGCCATCAAAATTTGAATAACATAATCTTCCATAGAATGTGGGCATGTAGAAACCCTAATTTGAATTTGAAATTTGTTTTATTATCGATTTCATAATTTGTAATACTTCAACAAATTTTTAATCGAAAAACTAAATGATTTCAAAGCGAGTAATGGCAACACTTTACGAAAAAAACATTTTTATCTCCAGCGCACGAGACTCGATATTGGAAATTCTAACGATATGCTCATTTTAAAATTAGTTTGCAATATTGCTGTTGAACTAAGTTTTATAGTTTGAGTATGTAGAACATGATATTTAATAAATAAAGGTAACACACAAAATGTTTAACTCTTTGAATGTAATTTAAAATCTGAAACCCTTCAGTTTTTTTTTTTTTTTTTTTTTTTTTTTTTTTTTTTTGTGAAAAGGAAGAGAAAGCATCCAAGAGCAATGTCTTGTTTCAGCATATGTTTTATGCTGCATGCATGTGCAGTAACTATTTTTTTTGGGGGGGAAGGGTTATGTGTGTAATGTGAATATAAGACAGTTTGCCATACAGAATCCTCTTATGAAGGCATTCCTTTCCCACAAGCACATAGCTGATGTGTGCTTTGCCTTATTCAAATAACCTATCCTTTCACATCTTTTGCTGAAGAATAGAATGATTTATGTACAGAGAACGTAGCTGTAGTAATTATTGTTGTCCTAAGATCTAAGAAGGCAGAACAACAACTGAAGAGCATCCATCACAAATGATATATTATCAGATAACAGAGTAACTAATAAATCTGTTTTATTGCAAGTGCTAAAATATTGTTATCATTGAAGACAAGTAACATCATAGAACTTGTTGCAAACTTTTTGAAAAGTTTTTTGATATTTTCCTTATCAAAATTTCATTGTACATTGTTGCTCAAAATTGCAATGTTCTAAAAAACTCGTTCTGTAAATCAAAATGCCAGCATATGATGTGCTTAATGAAAAACTGTACGGCTACCAGCTCTTATATGATGTTTTTATTCTTCTTCTCTTCACACCTTATACAAGCCTTTCACACTATGAAATTTCCTCATAGGAAATCATTTTTAGTTGAAAAATCTTATGTTGAAGAGGGATCAAATTACAGTCTATTTTAACACTTATAAAAATGGCAACACTTGTTTTATTAAAATTCAGACTATCATTGGAATTATTTATTTGTATATGCATCGAATTAAATTCTCTCACATGTTATGCAAGTGCATGATGCAAGTTCTTGAATTATATTCCAGGTCATTTCATAGCATTTTTATTTACAGTGTGCACAGTATTTTTGCAGTTCAGAAAACTTTATGATCACCTTATCAAAATAATTTGTTAAGTATTGTTTGCTTTGGCACAATAAAGTGTGTAAGTATATTGATTTAGAATGCTTTCTGAAAAATTCTTTAAAAACCATTTTTATAATAATATTAAATAGACACAATTTAAGGCATTGTCATTTAATACTTTACAAATGATATGGTACTCAGTATAAAAGGGAGATGGTGTTTTTATATTGTTCTTCAAAGCAATGAAAAAATTTTTTGTAAAATGTAAAAGTCCAGTTATTGTTATTCAATTCAACATTGTTTATGTTTGGTTTGCTTTTTTCATTAGTGTAATAATATTTTAAGTTATTGGAAGAATTTTGTTAATTTTTTATATTAATATTTTTCAGAGATATTTAGCAACAGATATTATTCAGCCAATGTTAAACTTCCTGTGGTTGGAGAAAGTCATGATTTTAGGCAAGACACCAATTATCAACACATAGCTGTAATTCTGGGATGTGTTACCCAGTTGAATCGACTACCAGAAACTGTAGAAGTGAGTTTGTCAGTTTGCAAATATTTTCTTAAAACATCAAAATTGCTTTTGTGATAATTTAATATAGTACAAAGTCCGAGATTCAGGTTCTTCAGGATTTGAGCAATCCAGATTTCAGAATTTTGTGGATTTGAATCTAGTAAGATGACCAGTAGAAATTATGAAATCAAAAGTATGAAGTAATTGCTTATGAAACAGTGAAGGATTTATTATCTTAAGAGAATCAAAATTACATATACAGTACAAAGTCCGAGATCCGAATGTCCAATATCCTGAATAATCTAAAATCCGGACTTCAAAACCGACAACAACTGTGTTTTTTTTTTTTTTTTTTTTTTTTTTTTTTTTTTTTTTTTTTTTTTTTTTTTTTTTTTTTTTTTTTTTTTTTTTTTTTTTTTTTTTTTTTTTTTTTTTTTTTTTTTTTTTTTTTTTTTTTTTTTTTTTTTTTTTTTTTTTTTTTTTTTTTTTTTTTTTTATTTTAAATGCTTTATGCATGTGCAAGTACAAATTTGATCCCCCCCCGGTAGATAAAACATGTGTAGAGTCCCGATTCTTAATTTCCCTTCGGCACTAAATAAATGCCTCGTTATTGAAGAAACAATAATTTGGCTACTAGCTGTGATCTCAAACTGAATCATTCTATATAGAAAAATCCCTGATGCCAGGCTGGTGAATCATTAGTAATTATATTTTGCTTCATCACCACAATGTTTATCAACACATGACAACTTAAGCAATGACTCATGCAGTGATGCCCAAACATTTATATATATATTAGTACAAAGGGTATGATAACTTTTATGTTGACATTCTTACGCTTGGCAATGATTACAGATTTAAGTTAAATGCATTAAGAAATATTACGAGGAAAAATTTAACAAAAGTTTCTTTCCATATGCTAAAAATAGATTTTGTTGATGATATTCATAGGCCAAAAGATTACATTTAGTGCTAAAGAATAACTGAATTATTTTTCACGTAAACCCAGAACCGGCGCCAGAGCTCGTATGGCTGCACCGGGTGGCAGAATTTACTGAAGACAAGATTTTTGGAATTTAGAGAAGCACTGAGAAACAAAATTAAAGGCTGAAAATATTTTTTAGAATTTAGGGAAGGCACTGTAATTCAAAATTTAGGGGCTGCAAAAAATTAGAACTTAGGCACTTGTTAGCAGAATTTAGTGTCCGCAGAGACTGCCTCAGGCGGTAAGATATGTAGCGCTGGCCCTCGAAAAGCCTTAAGTATATGTGGGAATTTATTTATTCAAGATTCAAATAAGCTTTTAAGCATGTGCAAGAAATAGATGCAAGTATAATAAATAACTAATATAATTGGGCTTAATTGTCTGAATGCACGATAGAAGCCAGACATTTAACGGAACAACTTGTCTTTCATCCCCAATCTCATGACACATAGCCAATAATGTGTAGCAGATGCTATTAAGCTAGGCTAAAATTATACTTTACTGATGCCAAGGAATTTGAGCCATTATAGCAGATTGCGCTGTTCCTTAACTTTATGATTTGATCCAGCTTCATTATTTTTTGCAGGCTGTTTTTATTACAACAATTTGATGAAAATTAAAGTTTCAGCTTTTGATCATGTTGAAAAGAGTTTCTAATTCTGCAGCTGTAACAGGCTCTTCAAAGTGAAAGCATTTTTCTATGTCCATTATACAAAATGTGGAATTGCTGCAAAAAATGGATGAAGGTATATCCATCTCAAAATTATGCGAGGAGTATGGCATTGGTAAGTTAATAAACTTAAAAAACTGAGTGCACATACAGGTTGGTTAACCAAATTTAAAAATTTCCGTGGTATAAGGCAGTTAAGAATTTCAGGTAAAAAAGCTTCAGCTGATACTGAAGCTGCTGAACTATTTGCAGATGAAATTATTAAACTCATTAATAATTAAAAAGTTTCTCCAGAACAAATTTACAATGCTGATGAAACTGGTTTTTTCTGGCAATGTGTACTGCAAAATACCTTGGCAACCTCTTTAGAGAAGGCTCCAATTCATGTCAAAGATTGCAAAGCAAGACTAGCAATTTTAGCATGCATAAATGCAGCAGGAATGCACAAGTGTAAACTTTTTATAATCAGAAAAAATGCATGACTTCGAACATTTAAAGGAGTAAAACGTTTCCTGTTTTATATCCTGCAAAGAACATGGATGACATAAGTGTTAATGAATGATTGGTTTGAAAATCATTTCATACACGAGGCTCGGCAGAATTTGGTTGGTTTACCTCATGACGTAAAAATTGTCCTGATTCTAGACAAGTGTTCGGCTCGTACTTCACTTAAAGTTTTAGCGAAAGGTAATGTACGAGGGCTATCCAGAAAGTAGATTACGTTTTGGAATAAAAAAATAAACAAAGTATAGGAAACAAATTTTATTATATACAGATGAAAGCCACACTCAAATACTACTTTTCTACATAGTCACCATACAAATTAAGGCAATTATCGTAGCGATGTACGAGCTTGGAAATTCCTTCGTCGAAAAATTCGGCCGCCTGCACCTTCAACCACTTTGTTACCTCTTCTTGCCTTCCATCTTGCACAAAACTTGTGGTAACCAAGCTTTTTGCTGATGATTTCGTGCAACAAACTTCGCGAAATTTGTGGAAAACTCAAAGAAAGTTCCGTTATTGTGAAATTTCGATTTTCACGGACTTTAGCATCGACTTTTTCGAGAAGTTCGGCGGTCACTATATGCTGGGTCTCCCACTTCGATCTTCGTCGTGAACATTGGTTTCGGCCAATTTGAAATCTTATGACCCACTGACGCACTCCACCTTCAGTGATAATGTTGTCCCCATACACTTCACGAAGCTGCCGATAGATTTCTATCGGTTTACAGTTTTTTGCAGTCAGAAACCTTATTACTGAGCGCACCTCGCAGCTCGCGGGATTTTCAATTAACGCAGACATTTCAAACCGTCACAGTATCTGAACGGAGCACAGCACGAACCTCTCACTAGCACGGCTAGATGCAGACTGAGCTGCGCAACGCTCTGACCCCAAGATGGCCGCGCTAGAAAGAAATGCTTTAAAAGAAATGTGGAGAAGCAGTAATAAATGAAGATGATATAACAGAATAGTTTCATTGTGATGACGTTGCCCCAATTATCAATCAATGAACAGACGCGAAATCTGTAATATGGTTTTAGATTCAGAAAATACTGCTACCGATAGTGAAGAAAGTGACAGAGAGGTTACTGAAAATGAAAAAATTTAGATTGACAGTCGGAATTCTTGTCACAGCAGTTACAGGACTTGAGCAATGGAACTTTGTATCTTTGTAAGAAATTATATCTGTCTACATAATTAAAGAGAAAATATTAGTACAAGAAACTTAAACATCTTGCATTGAAAGAAATGTGTAATAAAGTAAACAAATAAAAACTAAGGTTTTTTTTAATTTTGTTATTTTTTAGATCATAAATGCTTCATTATTTCATAAACCATGATTTCATATTTTTAATTTTATAATTTCTACATGCCATCTTACGTCGGAATCACCAAAGTCCTTCTGTCTGAGTCTGGATCTCAGATTTTGTACTGTATTTTTTAATAATTAACAGAAAAAAACTTTTTTTTTTTAAAGGCTGAAAATATTTTTAGAATTTAGGGAAGGCATTGTAATTCAAAATTTAGGGGCTGCAAAAAATACTTCAAAATTTATGAAGAATTACAAAATGGTTTAAAGAACATTAAAACTGAATATTTTAATTGCAAGATATTTTAAAGTTATTTTTCTTTTCATGTAGATGTTCTAATTTATCTTTATATACTTTTTTGACAGATAATGAAGGACAGATGTCAAAAAGAACTAATGGCTATTATTAGACATTCATCAGAATTGATGTATGATACATTGCAAAATTCATCATATCCTTGCACAAACCAGCCTTTTTTCTCAGGATCACAATATAAAGGAGAGCAACAATTCCTTCTTGATTTATTGGAAGCAATACTTTATCAGTTCAGATATGTAGCTATAAATCATGAAAGATTCTTAGATAACTTGAAACAAATTATTACAGTAAGTTAATGGTATTATTTAGTACTTTTTACTTTGGTTCAAATTATTTTGCCTGTAATATAAATAGCTGTTTGTGATTATTATTTTGAATTAAAATTGCTTGTTGTGCGATAGCATGTAGGTATTTTTTTAAAAAACATAAGAATTATGCATTAATAAACAAAGAACTAAAGTAGACCAAAATACTTTAAAATCTTTTCATTGATTATACTTACTTTGAAAAGAAAAAGAATGTAAAATATAAGAAAAGCACATTTAATTTTAATAAAACATAAGAATTATGCATTAATAAACAAAGAACTAAAGTAGATTAATACACTTTAAAATCTTTTCATTGATTATACTTACTTTAAAAAGAAAAAGAATGTAAAATATAAGAAAAGCACATTTAATTTATGGGAAATTATTTGCAAATCTTAATTAAGGAAATGATATCTCTAAGATTAATACTTAAGAAAATAAAGCATGTAGCCACTATTTTCAAACAATGTGTACATCTATGTTAAATGTAGATATTTATGTGTATTAATTCCACATTTCACTTTGTTTGACTTATCTGACAGTAATGTCAGAAAATGTGCACAGATTTTAACATGGAGACGAGTGTCAGATTGCATCTGTCATTATCATGGGCTTTGCGCAATTTATAGGTAACAGCATGACTTGGCCTAGTTTCGAAGGAGAATCATCTGTCAGGACAGGTCCATAGGTCTCCTACCTCTCATTCCCTACCACAGAGCCACATTCAAGAGGACTCTTAGCTCACCATGTATTTTTAATTGCTGTTATGCTGCAAGGACATTATACAATTACAAACATCCAAGGCTTCTACATGATTGGAACCTGGGCCCAACAATATGGCAGTCAGCAGCACTAACCACTGTTCTGATCAGGGTTGCTCATTTCAGTTTAAATTGTATTTCTTTAAAATTTCACCTGTATTACTTTGCCTAAATCAAACTTCAAAGTTTATTTTCGTATTGCTTTGTGTAATTGACATCAATCATAAATTAATTGAGTTGATGATATATAATATTTTCTGTTTCAGAAAACAGCATATTCATTATCATGGGATATATATATCTTATATTTAATTTTTTATTAATATTTTAAATCCTGTTAATTACTATAGACAAATTGTTATTTAATGAGTTATGATTTATGCTATTGCTTCAAATTCAGTATTCACTGAAGAAGGAAAAAACTGGGAAGAAAAAAACTATCTAACCCAATTAACATTTCTAGCAAAGTGAGAAATTTAAATATGAAAGATAAATGTCTTCTTAGTTTTTAAATGCTTTACTAGGTACAAAGCAAAATACATTGTGTGTTAGAAAATATTTATGTATAAAATCATAGCTGGTTGAATAAAATCAGTTCTTGATATATTGCATTTATTCTTGATTAATTTACTCTGATTATTTTTTTTTTTTTTTTTTATGGAAACTTGTCCAATTAGCTATGTACTTCATATCTAAAAATCAGAAGACACTTCCAGTTTTGTAATTTTATCCTTTTTTATATTGTTTCAAAAATGTGAGAAAAACTTACTGATTTTCCTTTAAATTTTTCCATAGTAACTTATCAATAAATTATTTATTCAGTAGTGTCTTGTTTCATATATTACTTTGAGTTCATATCAAACAATTGAAATGATGTTGAAGGTTCCTGTCATTTTCTTGTTGAATGTTAATATTTTGAAATTTATATAGATAAGGTAAAAATGTATTAAGAACAACTGTTATTTTTCTTTTAGTCAAAAGAAGGTTTTTCAGACATTGCTTTTGAAATGGCTGATGTTTCTCTAAGCTCCAAGCTGCAGTATGTTCATTATTTCTTAAAATTTATCTTTTATTCTATTATGAAATTTTTATTTTATTTTGAACATAAAATATTATTTTTATTAAAATTTACTCTTTCTATATAATCCTGAGTGCTGCATTGTAATTCAGGATATAAAAAAGAAAAATTTTAGGTAAATCTCTTTCAGATCCTAGATAAAATTAAAATATTATTTTCTGTTTCATTCAAGAAGCATTTAAACTTAATTAAGATAATTTTGTAATTAATTTTTTTTCATGTATTCTTTCTAAAACATTGTATAAATATGAGAAATCTAATTTGGAGTGTCTTGAATAGTGTTGTTTCAATCTATGGATTCATGGATGTCTTTTTAAATAAGAAAGATTTTGACATTTTATTGTAACTAATAATAAAACACAGCAAAATAAATGGCTGTAAATAACTTAGGAGAATGCTAATAATAGATAAATCTTTGTGAAAATATTTGTGAAGGATATTGGGAATTGATGATATTTCTTGTATCTGTAGTATATAAGAAATATCATTAATTCCCAATATCCTTCACAAAGTGAAGTCTAAAATGCAATTCACTTACTTTTTCTACTGCAATCTCTCTGGAAACTGCCTAATATTTTAACTCATGCTGAAGCTGTATTTACTTAATGCTATGCAAGTTTCTAGAATCTTCAGGAGAAATTTCTTCTAGAGCTTCAAAAATGCAGTTTCCTTAAACCTCCAGAAAGTTGACAAGTGGGTGAGAAATTGTCAAATGTTACCAGTTTGGCAACAAAAACTAATCAAGGATTGCCAGAAGCATTTTATGCTCATAGCTCACAACCTAGTTAAGCTATTTTTACAATTTAAATATTGCATTCAGAATTACAACATCTTCAGTTCTATAAGAAAAAAAATTAGTACCTAAAATATAGGGCCACAAATTTTATTATATAAAAGTACACCTAAAGTTATCACCCTAAATGCAAAAATTAAATAAAGCAATACACAATTCTGCAATAGTACACAAAAACAATGCAATCAAATGGATATAAATACAGTACAATTCCAGAAATCTGCAAAGCTTGGGACCAGAGGTTGTGCGGATTTTAGGATTTTGCGGATTTCAGGACAGAAAAGATAAAGCATAATATTCGGACTAAAAGTGCAAAATGAATAAGGCATATTAGATACATTTAATTAAATTATTATATGCATTAAATAACTTATATACATATATAAATTACATATATAAATTGCACATGTGTCAATTGCGGCGCATGCGCAGAAAGTTATTTAGCTTCTAGTGCAGATTAGCCCTAGATGCATTCTGGCCATAATGGGTAAATACACAACACACACACACACACACATATTATTCATTGTATTATATGTACACAGCATCGAGGTTTGCCGATTTCGCCTCATACAAAGATTTCCGGTTTTGGATTACACTGTTGTTATCACTGTTGCTGTAAAATTTCAACAGCTTTTCTTTATTTTTCAGTATATCATACACAATCGTGTAGCAATTCCATACCATTCTGCTATAAATAGAGGAGTAGCACCTGCTTCCATCTTTAGCAGAAATTTGCAACTTTTTGGCATTACCGTCAATGCAACGTGCGTATACGTTTTTCAACGTTGCAAGGCAGTAAAATCATGAACATGCCTTTCTTATCTGTCATTGTATTAAAAAGGCGCTGAAATTAAAAATATTCTTAATTTATCCACAAAATATCCAGGATAAAAAAACAAAATGGCAACACTCAAACAATCTCGTGAAATGAAATAACAAAGCCTCAGAAAATACAACGTGAATCGTTGAACTTGAACAAAGAGTTGAGGGAATCATCTGCTTTTTTACCTCGATGCAGATTAGAGGGAAAAAACTTATTTATTTTATCTTATTTTTTTAACTTTTTTATATCAATAATTAGTTATTTCTGTTTTGACTCATTATTATTTGGTAATTATGACGTCATTATTCGGTAAGTATTTTTTCCTTCAGTGTTTCGTACTCAATGTTGCGGTTTCCGGAACCTATAAACTGAATGTTTATATTCCAAGAGGCAACGCGAATTTCAGGTCGGTGGATTTTTGGTATTTGACTGTATTTTCAAATATTTATAACATTGACAGAGTTGCCAACTCTCCCGACTAAGGTGAGAGACTCCCGATTTCCGACCATACTCCCGCCAATCCGATTTTTAACATATTTCTCTCGACTTTCTCGTATTCTTAAAATTTCTCACGATTTTTATGTAGCTTGGCTTTATACTTTTTTTTATTTGGCCTTCCTAAAAAGTGATTTTTGGAATCCGATAGCGCTTGTTTTCCACTGCATGTATGTCAAAAAAATATATATAAAAAAAAATAAAATAAAGGTTATTTCATCACTGAGATTCTGGCACATTTTTGCTTTGTGTATGAGAATCCGAAACACATGTCCAAAAATGTCGTGTTCCAATTCTCCAATGAGAATCAAATGCCGCTGCAGGTCATTTGACATTTATTAGCCATTGAGCACAAAGCAAGATCGAGGTTGTTTATTTTGCGAGTGAGTAGCTTAAGTTTCAACGTGCTTCCCAGAAACAGTTTACGAAACTGCGATCTTTTGTCCTACTTATGTTTGCGAAAAATGTAAAATGTTCATTTACTTTTCAAAAATCATACACAGATGACTTTCCTTTATTATTTTGTTAAGAAAATGTAATATTACAATGTATACCGTTTGTCACTGCAATTTTTAGATTTCGTACTGTGGAAGAGCCGATGTTCTCAAACATGTACTTACACAAGGACAACATGAGTTGTAATAAAAAAAAAATTAAATTTTTCCATGGAAACAAATGGTCAAAAAGTTATTAATGCAGAATACCTGTTCTCTACCTTTATACTGGACATGTTTCTGTAGCCATAACATCAATCTATTTACTTGGCCCTCTGGATTTTTAAGCCAATGTAATGAAGGATAGTCAGTGTGCAGTAGGAATTGTGGCTTGGAGATGATGATGAAAATGTTCTGCTACCTTTGATGACTAATGCTTCTTTTCTGGTGACACAGTAATTTTTTTCCCAGTGTTTGACAGGCTTTTTTTAAAATAGGAAATAACATACTCCAGGCTGTAACTTTCTTGTGAAAGAACAGTTCCATTTTCTTCATTGCTGGTATTGAGAATAAAGTTGTTCTCAGGCTCAGGATAAGCTAAATCAGAAGCAGAAGGTCAAGGCTTTAAATGCTTCTTCATACTCATCATTCTGTGAAAACCTTTGTTTTGCTTTTGTTGGGTGACACTGAAATCAAAGCAACTTAACTGATGAATGTCTTGAGTCATCGGTTTAGGATCTGTGCATATGCCTTCAGTGGAGATAATATGACCTTCCTAGTGAAATAATTTACATGTTGAAAGACTGAGCTTTAAGTTAGCACCTCTAAGTTTCTATAGCACTTTCATATTTATATTTCCTTAGTGTGCCTCAAAAATGTGCCCAACTATAATAATGTCATCAAGAAATAAAGACTAGCTTCATATTACAGTCCTTTAAAAATGTCTTCATTATTTGTTCAGATATTTCTCTCTCCAAAAAGCATTACTTAAAATTTCCAAAGTCCCTGGCTGGTAGTCAATACAGGACAGGACAGGAAAAAGTGCAGGGGGCACCACAACATCGACAAAAATGGTATTGCCCCACTGCACTAACCTTTTCTGGCATTTATTAAGACAAAAGATTACATTTCAGGTCATTACATTACACAATTGACATAAAAATTACATTAAAGTAACAAGTTATTTACATAGGAAGAACAATTATACAGATAAACTGGGGTACAGGTAATCAAGGTACAGATATATTGGTGTACAGGAATCAGTATGCAGATAACATGTTACATGTTACAATTAATTAGGTGTTGCAGTTTGACATTTGTTGGTGTGCTTGGAGGAATACCTTATATCTACTTCTATTTTGTGGAGAGAGAAGCATTAGAAGCTCAGTTAAGCTCTCACCAAGATATGAAGACTAGATCTCCTAATTGCTAGCTGGATGTGCTACAATTTATGCCATAAAGACATACAACAAAGAATGTGAAATGCAATATAAAAGGTGACATGGAATAAAGAAAGTGAGCTATGTCCTTACCATTTTGTCAATTTTCCTATGCATTACATGTTTGGCAGAATTATGAGATAAAGGATGGATAGGTCTTTGATGAATGGTGATAACTCATTTTCCCAAAAAAATCAGCCATTTCATTTTTATACATATCACAATGAACAAGTGCTATTGTTATACTATTTCATTTAATTGCTTTAAGATTTTCCTACAGCACGTGGTCTGAGGAGTAAAAGTAGACTTGTATACTGTAGAAATTGCTTGATCTTGAATTTGAGAGAATTGTGGCTTTAATGAATTCATGTTTAAACTTGCAATGCTGAAGGGCAATAAAAACAAATGTTCAAAATGAACGATGTGTTTTCTAACAAGAAGAAGAATCACTAAAATTACTTGTGCCAGTTCTATCACCTTTATCTAATAATTAAGTATTTGTAATAAATATGAATCCATAGATCATCTGGATAATGATTCACATGCTTAAAATTACATATACTCTCTTTGTTAAAACAGCTTTTACTTTTGTTTGTCTTGAACATAATTTTTCATTATTTTCTGACATTCTTTTGATTTCTTTTATTTTCATATTCAGGTTGAAATATTTGTAAGTGATTATTTAGATCTTCATAATACAGCGGCTACACAACGAGCTGCTGCTGCATTTGCTAAAGTTCCAACTGTTACAACAGATATATCTAGTTTCTTTTTAAGAAAAGGTGTAACTAGGTCTAAAAAAGTAAGAAGGTTTTTGTTGTTGTTGTTGTTTGTTTGTTTGTTAAGTTATTATTCTATGCGATGTCATAACCATTTTCCTGAAAATACTTTTATGTATGATTTTTCTCTTGGCAAGTCATATTTCATGTAGTTTCATATAGTCATATATATGTGTGCTGTTTAAATGTTGCAGATATAAACTATTTTTTGTAAGATTAATGAAAAATTTTATTATGTGCATTTCTTGAATATATATGTGTTCAAATTTCCCTTTTGTTTATAACTGGAAATATAAATTTAGAGTTTTACTTACATTTGTTTTATTTATTAATAAAAAAACTCATTAACGGCTATAAGGTTTATTAGTACTAGGAGCTGATCTGTATGACTTGTTTCTCAGTGATGGAAGGTCCTGGCTGCATGATGTTTTTATGGTTTGCTTCATTTGAATAAGAAATTTTCTCATTGTGGCTCCTCTCTAAGTAGCCCTTAAATAAATACATTACCATAATAAATAACCTATTCTAACAGTGATTAATAAAAAGAAAATAGTTTGTATCTCTGTGCGCATATTTTCTATTGTAACAATGTGTAATTATTAAAAATTTTGTTGTGAGAAAAATATCTGAATATTTCTGGCTAATGTTATATACTTTTATGTGTAGCATGCCCTATTCAGATTTGACAGTTCTTCTCATGCTATAAATATGAAATCGTATTTGCAAGAACAGAAAGATTCCATGAAAGAAAAGGTGTGTGTCCTTTGATTTTATTTAGTATTTTAATTTTAAATACTGACATACAGTTTTATTTTTATTGAAAAATAATTTTTTTTTTTGTGAGTAAATAATCTGCTTTGAATATGTTTATGTGCAGATCTTGGGAATTATTATTTGATAGATTAATATTTCATAGTTTTTTTCCTCCTAACGTGTTTATTTCATGTAATATACTTTTTGTCAAGAAACAGAAAATTTTTGTATTGTTATCAAATTTCAAATTTTTTCTCTCTTTAGAATTCGGGGCTCGATTCTCTTGACAGAGATCCCAGCAGTCTTGATCACTCACTTTTGATCTGCCAACCAACAGCTAAAAATATCACATGTATTATTGCTTTTCTAGTAAAATGTTTTAAATATTAAAATGTATTTGAAAGTTTTCTAATGTAGTGTATAGTATGCTTGCTAATACTTAATTTTTAAATGTACTAATTTTTCCCCCATAGTACTTTTTAAATGTTTGAAGCAATTCATCTCTGAAATTGAGTCTGGTCTTGGTATGGATATGGGGTGAGTCTGAATACTATAAGTATTCTAGTTACTTTAAGGTTTACATTTGTCCATTTAATAAACTTAATAGTTAATTTTATTGAATATCTATTTGATAAAAAAAAGCTTGAAAATAAAAATCATTTAGAAATATTTTTTATTGTTCAGTTAGATGAAAATACTAGTTAAAGTGTTAAGAAATTGTAGTTTTAATTGGGGCATGCATTATCTGTATTGTCATATACTGAATTTTGCATGCTTAATGCCAGTATCTTAATTTTTGAAAAAGCTAATGTAATAATTTTAAAAAATGACTCTTCAAGTTTTTAAATTTCATTAAAATGAGCTACTATTCATGTATTTTCAAATATTTTCCACTTGCAGGACTCATTGCCCATTGCATACATTTCTTATGGATTGTGTTAAAGTATTTTTGGATGAAGTTAATATAGAAATAAATCATCTCATTGAAAGAATCACCTGTAGTATGTCATATGAAATTTTTACAAATTGTGAATAATAGAATATATTGTTTGGTGTTTTCTGAATATTCATACTTATTTTTGATATTATTCTTACTTATTAAGGTCTTGAAACATGGAAAGCAACCTCTGAAATAGATGTATTAAAAGCAGCTGATGCAAAAACTCCAATTCTTAATGTAAGTTTTGTATATGCATTAAAATTTTAAGCTTTGGTGTATAAATTATTGATCTACCTATATTATTTCATTTTTCTCCCCTAGAGTACCTTAACATTGAATTCTAGCTTAAAACAAATGGAGCAACTCATTTATTCTTTATCAGACTATTCCAGCCATTTTTTTCAATTAGTCTGTAATATATTACAGACATATAAAGAACTTTGCCAAACAGCATACAAAGGTAAGCTGTAATTATTATGTTTTGACTAGCATTGTTTCTAATATACATCAAACTTTTTAATTTTTATCCTATACATCTGCATCTTTTTTCAGGTAATTAATTCATCTTTATTTTTAAAGTTGTAAATAAAAAGCATTTTAGTTTTGAACTTATGAACTTTGAAACTAATTTTCAAGCTTAAATATATCTCTTTAATAGTAGTGAGTGTATTCCACTTAAGTGTTGTTAAGTGACTTCTATGCAACAAATATGTATAGTTTTTGTTAAAGTATATAATTTTCCTTCATTTATTAAAATTTTGAAATATATTTAATTTTTGTGACATCTGTAATTAATTTTTTACTGTGGTTAAGCAGTATAAAAGATTGCAATAAATCAAAAGTTTCCCTTTTCTATACATATTTATATAAAAAGTATAACTGTAATTATATTTTAATTAATTTTCTATTATTCAAATACCAGTATAAAAGAAATTCATGTATTTTGTATTTTTAATGTTTTCTCTAACATTAGTGGTAATTTAATAATTAATGAAAACTTTTATGCTTTCTTTTATTGTGAAAATTTATGTAACTGCCTATGTCTTATTGCCTGAATTTACTACTGATTGTATTTTTCTAAAATTAATTGGCTTATACTTTTTAAAGTTGCTTTTGCTAATTTATTTTATTATACTATGTTTTTACTGCAAAATTTTATTACAAAAAATTATACAAGATATATAATGTAGATATATATGACATAATATGTGTGACTTATATATGCATTATATATAATGTATTGAAAATTTTATATAATTTATATAGTATATATAATTCAAAATTTGTGTGCTTGCATATTAAGGAAGTGTTTATGTACTGTTTTCAAATCATTCACAGATGCTTTGGTGAGGAAAGAACATGATTTACATTATTTTTGTTTTCTTTTTTGAATAAGCTTTTTTTATATTCTGTAATTTTGTAACATCCGCTGATATTTACTGTTAGGATAAGATAATAAGCAATTGACTCATACCTCTGCCATGTGATTATTCTAGTCAACTGTTACGTTGGAATTCATTTGGAGCAATCTTTAATTTGCAAAGTTAATTCAATTAACTCTTAACACCTGAAGTAAAGGCTCACTACTGGCTAAGCAGGAAAATTGCTGATCACTGGTAGTTTGATCTGGGATCTAATTCAGGCAAACGAGTTGGCTGCATGGCTGCTTTTGTAGTTTTCTTTATGTACTGTAGAGTTCCTCATTTTGTAAATGCTAATTTACAGTTGAACGTGAAGAATCTTAAGAATTGCTAAGCGAATAATCGCTTAAGTTTGTGTGACAAGAAACAACAAGATGGAAGGGTAAATAACCCTTTATTATTCAAATAAGATATAACAGAACTCCGTCTTGGAATGTACAATAAAAGCCAACACTTGGGCTTTAACTTAAGTGGCTAAAAGTAAACTAAAACTAATCTAAACTAAAGAGATATAGCTGAAGCTATCAAGATTCTAACCGAGTTGGCCCCTTAACACTAATTGACTGTGAAGCTATCAAGGGCTTGAGTACAGCCGAGAATAATAACAGCTTTGAGAGAGAGTAGCCAACAAGGCGGACGCGAACTAATCGGAAACTCTGATTCTCTCCAACTCAGCAAGTAGCACTTCATGGGTAAATACTGCTCCTCCTTATGTATTCAGACGTGATTCCAAAACTACGCTCTGGCTGGAAGTAGTAAGTGGAAGTTAAGAATTTGACAGGAAAGAAGTTTAACTCAAAAACATAGCTTCCGGCCAGACTTTAAATAGTCGCGAACTAAAGGTCTCTAAATGACATTGTTTAAGACTTTAAAGTCTGAAAACTTTCTACGTTAACTACACACTTTTAACACTTCCATTGACTAAATTGAATTTAACTTTTGTTGTTAGGGCCAACTTTACAAAAGATCTAAAGCTAGACTAAAGCTAGAAAATTTTTTTAAAGAATTTTGCAAATTTTCAGCGGTTTTGGACACACATCAACTTCTTTTACTGCAAATTTTATTCTTCTGGTTTTAGTCTTGGTCCTTCCATATCTGGAAGGAAACAACATTAGTAATAAATTTTACAAAGATTTTCCATAACTCTTACAATTACCCTTCTTTTATTGTCTCATTTGGCTCTCATACACTTTCATTCGTACTTAAACTTTTGTTTCCCTTATGCTCTTCAGCAATTGTTGTGAAATATACTTAGGGTACTTATGTTATGTTACCACAAACAAAAGCTTTCTACCAGACTTTAAATACTCGAAAAATAAGGTCTTGAAATGACCTTGTTTAAGACTTTAAAGTCTGAAAAACTTCTTACGTTAACTACACACTTCAACTTTTTGAATTAACTAAAGTAACTTTTTAAAGTTCTGTTTTTAGGGCCAACTTTACAACAATTCTTAAAGCTAGGAAAAATAAAATTTTACAACAATTCCTCTGTTCTGGACATACACCTTCTTGAATGCACACTTTATTCAGCTACTATTAAGTCAGGTCTTGATACTTCCATATCTGGAAGGAAATATCATTAGTAAGAAGTTTTACAAAGCTTTTCTATAACTCCTAAAATTACACTTTTATTTCCTCATTTGGCCCTCATGCACTTTCATTCATACTACAGTTTTATTTCCCCCATGCTTTCCAGCAAATATACTGAAATGTACTTCGAGTATTTTATGTTGTGTTACTGCGAACAAAACTACCGCTACACAACATCTAACTTGGTTAACATTGACACATTAGACCTTACAAGACTCCCTACATGCCGATACTTCCTAATGTACTAAACAAAAGCTTAAATTTAATTTTTAAAATGTTAACTGTAAAGCCTAACATTAAACACACGTATATATTCTGAACATTCCAATTCTTTCACAATTCAATTAGATCATGCAATTCTTCTAAGATATTTAAACGTAGACTCGCTGGGATCACTGGTCGGTATTTCTGATTATCATTTATTACCTTTGTATAAAATAACAGTTTGTCGATTATTTCATAATGCTGCGTCCTGTTGCAAATAGCCTTTAAATCTATATGCTCAAACTTTTCAGGGTCTTCCAGATATGTGTAAATATCTTTAAATTCCGGGTCTTTTCTCAATTCTTCAACTATTGTTTCACGAAACTCAATAACTTTTGAGGTGAGCATAGCACACTTAATTATATTTCCCTCCTCATCAATTTTTATTCGTGAAAGAGCATTTGCAACTACATTTTCTTTTTTGGGCATGTGCTTTATAATTGAATTGAATTTCTATAACTTTAAAATCCACCATATCAGGGCGAGACGATAAATTTTTTCCCAAAAACGAGCGACCCACTGTCGCATGATCTGAGTACACTGCTATCAGGGAACTTCCAAAGTAGACACAAAATTTTTGAACCACTAATAAAACGGTGAACATTTCTCGCTCTGTTGCTGAATAGTTCCTTTGGGTAGAATTCAGCATTTTTGAAAAGAAGGCTATAGGTTGCCCATTTTGGGAAAGCACAGCTCCAACTGCATAATCAGATGCATCTGCTGCAATCTCTAGACCTTGTTCACCTTCTGGAAATTTAAGGACTGGGACATTAATTAGCACATTTTTTAGTTGTTCAAAAGCGGTGTTTGCCTCGGCTGTCCAAAAAAATCTAGTTTTCTTTCTTTTCAGCACTAAAAGAGGCTCAACTATTTTCGCAAAATCCTTCATAAACATTCTATAATAGGAACATAAGCCGAAAAACGAAGATAATTTCTTAGCCCTGTTTGGGGGAGGATAACTTTTAATTGCTTGTATTTTAGAATTATCAGTCTCTATGCCCTTATTAGAAATCTTGTACCCAAGGTATCGGCAATTTCTTGGCTACAAACTTGCACTTTCTTGCATTTATTTTGAAACTGGCCTCGTTAAGTAAGGCAAAAACTTCTTCCCAATGTTTTAAATGTTTGTCCAATGTTTCGCTAGTAACTATTATATATCATTAAGTATTAAATAATTGTACTTTTATGTAAAACTGGCCTCATGACTACTATGTCCATTGCTTTTTGAAAAGTAGCCGGCACTCCGCTTAAACCAAATGGCATTCTTAAGAAGGCATAGGCTTTGTAATGAATGCAGTCTTTTCAACATCTTCAGGTTTTACAGCGATTTGGAAATAACCAGATGTTAAGTCTTTTCATAAACTTAGTTGAAATTTTTTGTCGAATGATTTCATCAATTATTAGTAGGGGATATGTGGGATATTTTGTTATACTGTTAAGTTTACAATAATCAACTGCAAACATGTACGCGTCCAGGTGCTCTGGAGGTAGCCCATTCTTCTTTCTAGAAAGGACCACTGGACTTGCGTGTGGACTAGTGCTTGGCACAATAATTTTATTTTCTAGCATCTTTTCAATATGTTTTTGATAATTTGTTCTTTTACCCTATTGTATCTATAGGCTTCGACTGACCTGAAGGGGAATTGCCTGTATCAATAGAATGGTTATTTATCAATAGAATGGTTATTGGTGGCAGAAGCAAGGTTTGTCACTGAACAGAGAATTAAATTTTCTTACCAACTTTTCAATCTTCTCCTTATCTTCAAGCTTCAGGTGGTCTGAGCGCATTTTTGGCATGGAAACTTCATCTTCTTCCACGGGATCCATGTGCACCTGAAGAGTAGAATTCTGGCAATTAAGATTCGCGCCGAATGCGCGTAAAAAAGTGACCCCTAATATGATGGGCGTGAGTAAATTTTTTACAACTAAAAAATTAACTTTTGTCACCTCATTTTTAATTTGTACATGCAGTGCAGTTTTTCCCAAACATACGCACTGTTTGCATTGGGCAGCAATTACTTTTTGTCCCGTGGCTTTAAACAGTCTATAACGACAAAAATGCTTCTTGAAAAAAATCTTCTGAGAGAAATGAACACTGAGCCCCTGTGTCCAGGAGTGTCGGTGGTTGGTACATTATTTACAAGAATATGTATCTCCGGCATGGCTAGATTTTGTACCACTACCATATTTAAATGGATTTCTGAGGGGTCTTTCTTCCCACTCGGTGATCGTTGCCCCTTCTCGAACACCGGTTTGCATTTAAGTTCTGGTTCCTCGCCGCCTCTTTCCGCTGACTTTTGTATCCATGCTCTTGTTATTGAACTTTTCACTTTTTCTCGTCTGCTGATACGCATTGTGCTGAACTTGCGGTTTCTTTTGAGGGGAAAATCTTGAATGTTGGCCAAACTGGTTCACACGTGCCTTCTCAGAGTTGGAACTTCTCAGTCTTTGGAACTTTACCGCAAGCTGAAATAGATCTTCTAACGTTTGCGGAATACGAACTTTGAGGAAATCTTGGCTGACGGTAGTAGATGGGGTAAAATCACTTCAATGAGTTCATTATCTGGCTTATTCTCGTACAGTAAGTTAAAGATTTGGATTTTCCTTGGAATGAACTCCGTCAACTCCTCAAAACTGCTTTGGTATTTACTTTACGATTCTGATTCTAGCTTTGCATGGTCTTTGACAACTGGAAATGCTTTCAGTAATGCCGACTTGAAATTTTCCCAGCTATTCAATTCTGATCCTGAATCCCTCAACAAAAACTTGCCAATCCCTTTATACCAGCTGAGAGCTTAACCTTTTAGGTTTGTTGCCGCGATGGTGACTTTCTGTACCTGGTTAACTGGGTATAAGGTAAAATGCAGGTCCAGTTGGTTCAGGAAGGTCATCATTGAACCTTTGCCGTCAAATTTTGCTGTTGGCTTCATAGATGCCCACATTGCTTCCAAGATAAATTCCGAATCCTTCCATTGGATTCGTGGATGTCTGAGGGATCTGAAGGGTTGGAGGGGTCAACGTAAATTTCCCGGATTCTAACGACATGGTCCATTGAAAGCTTTCGGGCACCAAATGTAGAGTTCCTCACTTTGTAAATGCTAATTTACAATTGAACGGGAAGAATTTTAAGAACTGCTAAGCGAATAATCACTTAGCAGTTCTTAAGTACAGTAGTGGTAGCTTTACATTTACTTCTTTTACATTTTGATAAGAGTCTTTTCCCGTGTAATTGCATCCGAATATTTAAATGTGTATCAGTTTTCTCTTAAGAATTCACTCTACACTTTTCTAAACTTTTCCCCCCAAAAAAAATCCTCTAATTTTTTGTTCGTACAGAGTTGGTAGGAGTTTTAGATCTAGCATCTTGGAACATTTAGAATTTAAAGGCAAAATGTATAGTCTTACAATTCCAGAAAAATATGACAAAATGAAAAACATCTTCATGATGCTAGCATACAATGGGCATGCTTCTTAGGAAATTGGTAATGAGTTTCTTATTTTTTGAAGAATTTTTTAAAGAACAGTGAAAACAAAATTATTTGAATTTTCTCCTTTTAATCCCAGAAGTCTTTCTCTTAACATGTTTATCTTCCCTCTATTTTCTTATCTTTTCACTAGACACAAGCATTGAAACAAAGAAAGGAACTGAAAACCAACAATTTATGAAAAGATTCATCTTTATGTATCTCATTGCACCATACATACGACAGTGCCTCTTGCTACTCGGTGCTTCAGTAAATTCTAAAAATTCTGCCACAATGGTACTGGCACTGCCCAGACCTTATACCATTTCATATTTATTCTCAATACTCATATTAGGAAAGAAATCAAAATAACAGTTTCTTCCATACATTCTAAGTACAAGCAGCTCTCTAGAATAACAGAAACCTTTAATTAAATCTAAAAATTCTAAAATAAAAAAGAAATGATTTTATAAAGGACAGAAAATTTTTCTTCAGAGATACATTGTTGAAACATTAACAGATTAGGAGCTGAAGCAGAGACTAGTGGGAATATTTATTTATTTACTGAAATGAATAAATATAAAAAAGATGCTAAAGAAAAGGAAACTGATGTAAATTAGCTAAAATAACTGGAAATTTTTCAAATTAAAAAGATGCGTATTGTATTTGTTGTTGCTACAAAACATAAATGTTTTGTAACTTTTAATGTATAAATTTAATTAATAATTATACTAATGCCATTTTAGAATCAATATAAATTATAACTGCTGTAAAACATTCTTAGTCCTTTTTTTAATATGTATTTTTTATAAATTAAGAAAGTTTGCTGTCACTGTGCTAAGAGAATCGTTGGAACTAGATGCAGAGCTCATCTTCAAGAGAAGAATGGCGACTCTGTGAAGGGGAAGATTTGGGGTTCCCTAATGGAGAATTCCATTCTTTGCGACCTACCTAGACCTGTCGGTGTTGCTAACTTTGAATTAAAAACTGGATATGGCTACCTCGTGAAACACTTTCACAGATTTGGTTTAGCAGACAGTCTATCTTGCCCGTTATGTGATATTCATGGCATGTGAGGTTACCATTCGGACACTTGTTCTGGACTTGATGACATGGCAATGGCTAATGCTGTCAAAAACTATTATACTTTTTTTAATATTTCTGAGTTGTATTGGGTTGCCCATTGTTCCAAGGAATTTTATAATTTAATGCTAATTACTGGAAAAAAATTATGAAGTTGACTTTATTCTTGAATTTGTTGCATAATTAAGATAGATATTAGATTAGGTTTAATAATAATGCATCTTAATTGCATATTTAATTTATTCTTACAAATTAGAAAAGTGGTGTTACAAAAGTGAAGTTCGAGTGTAGATAGTTGCTTTTGTTTATTCAGATCCTATTTGCTGGTAGATCCTAAATTTTTTCATTGATGATCCTTAAAAGTCTAATTCCCATATGCAGAGATGTGTATGAACCCTACAACTGCAGCTTATGCCAGCTGCAGTGTAACATCTTAAATATATTTCTAAAAAAAAATTGATGAGCAAAACCAGACCTCCCTTTTCTCCCAAACTAAACATGTCATATACTCTGAAATTAAGAAAGAAACAGTGAAAATTATCATTAACTGCTGATGAATAAGATAAGCTTCCATATCAGCAGAAAGATTAATCAAGGAAATTGGAATATTCATAAGTTTCATCTGCTCCATTGCCCTCAAAGCATTAAAATAAATGAAATGATAATGAAAGAAAATAAAATATATAAATCCTGGCACTTCTTTTTTTCTCCTCCCTCCCACTGTAGATGATATGTGTAGTAGAAATCTCTCTTTCCTTTATACGTTTTCCTGCATAATGTTTGGAGCTTCTTCTCCAAACAATGTTGCAACTGTGAAAGCAATTATAAAAAAATGCATCTGATGAGTTTCATTCCCAATGCTGGTTTTTGTTTAAATTTTTCTCTTAATTATTAGTCAATTATGTACTTTGTTTTTAATCCAAATTTCTATTCGTTGTAAACTGAATAAATCAACTGCCAGTAAAAGCACTGAAAATTATATATTAAAAAAAAAGAAGACATTACAGTTGGTACAAATAGTATAATTTTTGCTATTTGCTATTTCAAAAATCTCTAGAAATATATATTTATTGAACAAATCTAAGTTTGCCTCAATGAAGAAATAAAATCTATAATTATAATAAAATATTTTAATATTTCTGTGATAGTTGCTAGAAAATATTATATTATTGAACGTAAAATCTTCTTAAATGATTATTGCATGTTTTTTTCATATGTCATTTTTATCTTCTTTTCAAATTAACGCATTAATCATTTTCTAGTATACAAATTGAGAGAGATTAGGGATACCAAATAGGGGGGGGGGGGGGTAAGACGGGGGGGGGGGTGTTGACAAAAATAATTTCTTCTGCTGACCTAAATTCTAACATATTATGATTATTATAACACTTTTGGCAATGCATGAAATAAATATATATTTAATTATTTATACATTGTTTGAAAGCTTCATTTCATACTTTTTTCACAATATAATTTTAGGATATAATGTTATTGCTCTATCGCACATTGTTTGTATAAGACCATATAACCGACAGCTTATTTAAGATAAATTTAGTGCTAAAAGTGTTAATCGAAGTAACTCATGTTGCAAATCATTGAAGAAATTGATTCCGAAAAGAATTATACTTAGAATTTAAGCTACAACTGAAAATAAAAACATCATTATTTGACAGTGAATTAAAACCATCAAATCTCTAGGTGAATGCGCTTTCTTGCAAAAAAGTTTTGCTTAAATATCCCAGGGAGAACACGCTGATAAAAACCTGATAAATTTAATGTAAGTAATATATGTTGTGTCCCCGGCTGAAAGTTTTTCTAAAATTAGCAGTCTTATTGATTGAATTTTGCTTGCATACAAATGTGAAACTACTGAATTTACATGTATTCATTCAAGTTGGTATTATGCTGAAGAATTAAAAGCCACATGGGGTTTGAATGAAGTTAAAAACAGCATAAAATGATCTAGGTTGATATGCTAAAATTTTGTGTAAATATTAGTAAAATTCGCGCTTTCAATAGAGGACCCATATGCTTCATCAGCTGGAGCTAAAATGAATGGCTCAATCAAGTTCTTCTTTTATTACTTTCTGCAGGGTTTCTGTATTTATCAGAATTGTCATCCAGATGTATGGTAGATTAAAAGAATGGTCTCTGTTGTAACACATCTAGTGTTGATTTCTAGTACTTCTCTGATTTTAAGGCTACTTTTATGTCAACAATTATAAATGATTAAGAAATACTGAATACTGATATACATTGATCTGAGTTCAAACTTTTGTGCATGGGCTAGCTGCATTGTTTTTTTTTTTTTGTTTTGTTTTGTTTTTGTTTGTTTTGTTTGTTTGTTTGTTTTTTTTTTTTTTTTTTTGTTTGTTTTGTTTTTTTTTTTTTTTTTTTTTTTTTTTTTTGTTTTGTTTTGTTTCCCTTACGTAATAATGCGAGTTCCAGACAGTTTTCTTTTGAAAGTTCTCCATGAAGGCATCCCAACCCCTAGGCAAATTGCCCTTGTACACTTTGTCATATTTGAATAACTTAACCTTGTTGGCGATTTTTGCTGTGCCATTTGTTTATAAACTTGTCATAACCCTAGCCTTATTTATCTGAAAAATTGTTAAGAACAGATGCATCAAGTGTATGTACCAGGGTTCCCAAACTTGCATCTGTCTTATCTAAAAACTTTTAATGATTTCGGAAGAAAACTGGGCAGAATGTTTCAGTGAATCATTGTGGATAAATTCTAGGAAAGTTTAAGATAAATAATTTTAATGTGTAATATCAAATATTAAAACTCTTGTGAATATTCCTCGTAGCTATAAATCGGTACACATGTGTATAGATTGAAAACTTTATGTTAAGGGCCTTCTGTGCTATGCAAAATTTTACTCATACATATTTTCCCATTTTAATTGTTATGTGAATTGAAAAGATTAATTTTAATATTAGAAAATTTTGACAGCTAAGATATACAAAAAATTTTCTCCTTTTCATAGTGTAATGTTAAATACTCATTGTAATATTCTGCCATATTGATTTTGTTGACTGTTCTTGTATGTTTTCTGAGTATGTAAGCATTCTATAAATGAGCTAAATAATACTTTTGTAGGATGAAGGGGATGGCACTACAGTTGGAATAAGCACAAACACAAAATCGTGAGTTTGTATTTAGTTAACTGTTTTTGTATTGTTTTGTTTGCTGATTTTTGAGAACTTAACATTTTACCATGTGTTTAGAGACTAAAAGGAAATATATTTTCTAGATTATTAAAAAAATTTGCAAAAGATTATGAAGATCTTGCTGATACTTGCCTTCTTGTGTTGCATTTAGAAGTTCGTGCTCACTGCTTTTATTATCTTTTACCACTATCTAAACAAGTAAGTATTTTATGACTAGTTTATTGCAGTTTTTTAAAAAAATTTCTTCACATGTATGGGGAAGATTCTGTTTATTTTTGACTTTTCCTTCCATGTGCTTCAGTAAAACTTGTGCCATCTGCATTTAATGCTTAAATTCCAAACCCTTGAAACTTTTCGTATATGTATTTTCTGTATTTGAGTAACTTTCCACTTCAAGTGCCTACAATTTTGGGTTTCAAATGGTCATTTGTCTATCCTGCAGCAGTATTTTAGGTATTTTTGTGCTTTATACTATGTTTTTGATCTCGGGAAATAGCATTACTATCTATGTGCAGAGGACATTTTATAATGGATGTTATTTAATTATATTTATTTGTCATAAAAATGTCAGAATATTTTATTTTTTACATTATGTACACTCGTATGCAAAATGGAGAGAATCTGTGGATATATCTGTTTTTACAAAAAGTATTGAACCAAAGATACTAATAATGTCACTGAAGAATAATGAAATATTCAAACATGTAAGCATACACGTACATGTCTGCAGAACTATGTTTTGGAGGAGATATAAGCATGCAAAGGTTTTGATGATTTATGCTCATACCCTTCACAACATTCACGGTCTTTCTCACAAGAGCTGGGCAAATTTTATGAGGTAACGGGTAGTATGAATAGCCATAAATGTGTGGACAGTGAAATTAGATGAAGAATCATTGGTAGATTGGAGGTGCATCAATCACAAGCACAGGTGGCTACAGAGCTCAGTGTAATGCAAAGTGTTGTGTGCAATTTATGGAAACATTTTTCAGGGCACTGGATCCATATCCCCTGCATGCATCCAGTTTCAGGGCACTGGATCCATATCCTCTGCATGCATCAGAAGATTCAGCCTAGATGTTGATTCTCGGTTTACTTGGCCTCCGTCATCAGGGAAAAGAATCAGTTGTGAGGTGTAATGGTTTGACAGGTATTATGTTAGATGGCTGCACACCCCTGCATGTGTTTGACAAAGGTTTCCTAACTGCTCTGAGGTATAGAAAGAAGATCCTAAGCATTATATTCAGCTTTTCAGAAGCACAGTTGGTCGTGGGTGCCTGGTAATGGGCAATATTTCTCATCTATATGGGGCTCTGCAAGTCTAATTGCTTGGAAAGTGAAAATATTTGCCACATGGATTGGCCAGCCAGATCTGACCTAAATCCTCCAGAGCATGTCTTGGATACTCTTGAGACCAATTTCATCTTGCCATACCCCTCCAAGAATCGTTCTAGATTTGAAAACTACCATGCTGCAGGAGTAAGATCAACCACCGCAGGGACTCCTCAACTGTGTTTTGTCCAGTAGTATCTGTCTGGCTGTGAGAGGAGGCCATATCCCATATTAGACTCATTTTGTGTTTTGTATCATAATGTGGATTTTGGACGATGTCCAAAATTCTGCACTCTAGTTTTACTATAATCATGCATGCATAAAATGACTTTTGAATGGTACATCTGTATTGCTTTGTTTTAAAAATTTATTCATACCAAGTTTCATTAAAATATGTCCATTAGTTTTTCAGAAATTCAACATAATGTGCAAATTCTCTTAATTTTGTGTTCAAGTGTGTATACATTTGCTTTGTACATAATTATGCTTTTGTCTCTTTGATTTAAAACTCAGGCACATTTAGAAAACGTTAGCATATTCAACGCTAATTCAGTTTTCATGCAGCTCCTAACTGATCAGCATGTAATTGTGTGGTATTTCATTTCTTGGCAGGTGTTTTGTATAGCTGTTTTTTAAATTAGCAATAATTTTTCATTTCATTTTTTCAATATCATGTTTATAAATGTGTAATCTTAATTAGTAGTGGGTTCGTACAATCCTTAAGAGTTCTTAAAAGTCCATAGTTTTTTTTTTGTTTGTTTGTTTTGTTTTGTTTTTGTTTTTAGTTCTTTAAGTCCTTAATTTTGGCCAAAAGCTGCATAAGGTCCTTAATTATAATCTTCTAAAATTTCTGTCTGTTTTTACAACTGCTTTTTTGAGTGTGAATTAGATTTTGGAGGAATGTTTTTGGTGATTCACTGACAAATATGTATTTCATGGGTTATCCTTTTGAATATATTCCTATTTTTAATATAAACGGTGCAGTACTTGAGTTTGTGAAGCATAAGCATTTCAAAGTTCTTTCTTTTTTTTCTTCTCTTAAATAACTTTTCTCTTTTAGGGATTAAATTCTTTTATTAAACTGCACTAAATTTGGCGACTTATCAACATTTTGGCTATTTTAAGATCAATTTCTGTACAAAATATTTTAATTAGGAGATTTGGGAAATTTTGAACTATTTTTTTAAATGTATTGATAAATTTCATTAAAATAATGGTAATATATTAAAATTATACTTAAGAAATAACATTAAAATAAAACATTTTTAGCTCCCATATTATGAAGTAACTTTCGATTTTGTCTAGTTACTATTACAATATTTTGAATACAAAAAATAAACAAAATAATAAATGCTATAAAGCATAATTTATGAAACAATTTGGTGTTATTTGGTTTTGAGGGCCGTAAAAAATCGCCAAACTATTGTTGATGCCAGTGCTGCCAAAAATAATTGCGGCAACCCTAACGCAAGAAAGGAAGTATAATAGTAAATAATTATCTAAAATTGATGTTTTAATTTAGATGAAAGGTTAATTTCATATAATACTTTTTTATTATTATAATTTATATAAAAAAGCCTAAACATGACTGAATGGAAGCATAAGAGTAAATAACTATTTCAGATCATTATTATAATTTATATAAAAATTGCTAAACATAACTGAATGGATGCCTGCATCGCTATTTCGCTACCGAGTTATCGCTAAAGCATAGTTTCATCTCATTGGTTGTTCATTTTCTATAATGAATAATGCCTTTTCTTTGGAAAAGTTCTCAGTAAAGTGCAGAATCGGCTACTTATTTGTTTGCCGCTTTTTACAAGGTTAACAACAATTGGATTTTTGTCAATTTTCTTTTACTTTTTAAGTGAAAATAGGGTGATGTGTTCATAGATAAAGTCAAGGGTGTGCACAATGCCATTTCTGTGCAATTCTAATTCTAGTTTTTTTTTTTTTTAATGAAAATAGGTCGATGTGTACATGAATACCGAGTATGTTCAGTTCTAAAAATCGCGTCATGCAGTGGGTGATTCTGCACTTTACCCAAAATTCTATTGCACACTTTTCGTCTTGGATGATTTCCAAATTGTTAAATTCATAGGATATCAAAAAATAATTTCAAATAAAAAAGGATTTAAAAATTAAACTAGTATTTCAATGGCATCTTAAGAAATATAGAACTATATAAACTTACGCAATCTGAAATCAGCGCGTATGCTAGATTTGGTGTGCTGTTAAATGGACATGTTTGCTAGATTTGCTGTGCTGTTAAATGGGCGCGTTTGCTAGATTTGGTGCTTTTGCGCATACATTTTTGCTGCAAATTTTTTATGGTCGTCAAAACAGAATAGTACCAACAATTCTTAACAAGAGCAAAATAGCTATGTAATTATTTTTAAATGACTTCTTTTTTTATTTTTTCATGATAAGAGTTTTTCCCCATGTAATTGTCTCAGAATATGCATCAGTTTTCTATATGAAATTCATTTTACACTTTTTTCTCGTAATTTTCTTTAAATATTTATGACTTTTTGCTGTTACAGATTTGGGAGAGGTAAGTTTTCATTCAGATTTTAGACTTTGTACCCTGAAAAGTTTAGAGGGATTTGAAGCAAGATTTATAGACATAATGTTCTAGAAGATTCCAGAAAAGTGTGTCAAAATGAAAAATGTCATCATGGTGTTAACATGTAAACACGTAATGGGTGTATTTTACAAGAAATTTGTGACAAATTTCTCACTTTTGGGAGAATATTTGGAAAAGCAATGAAAACATAATATTTTAAGGTTTTACTTCTGATCCTAGAAGTCTTTCACTTAACATGTTTATCTTGCATTTATTTTTCTTCTTTTCACTAGATAAAGCATGGGAAATATTAAAAATGCTTCTAATCTTGTCTCATGGACAGTTATCTATAGAGGGGCATTTTTCTATTAATGAAGAAATTGAAAACTAACAGTTTACAAGATTCATCTTCTATGTCTCAATGCATCACACACAAGGCTAGCGCTATACATTTTCCCACCTGATGTAATCTCTGTGAGTTCTAAATTCTGCTGCCTAGTGCCTCCCTAAATTCTGCTTCCAGTACCTGTCCGAAATTCTAAAAGTTTTGTCATTTCTAGATTTTGTGTGTCACTAAATTTTGAAAATTTTGCCACACTGGCTCTGTAACTGGCCCTGATCATCACTTCATATTTATTCTCAAAGCAGCTTCTTTTATATGTTCTAAATATGCACAGTTTTTAGAATAACAGAAATCTTTAAGTAAACCCAAAATTTCTAAAATGAAGAGGAAATTTATTGAGGAATGAAACTGAATACATAAAGAGGAAGAAAATAGTTCTTCAAATATATGTACAGTTATTATTATGTAAGTTAACTAGTTATTCATAATTTCAGCCTTTATTATAACTTCTCTTTTCCATTTCTTCACCAGAAGGCAAATTGATGAGTTAGTATTTAAACTGAGGTTTCTAAATTGTAAGACAGAGTGTGTTCCTGGCCTTAGTACCTGTCAGCTCTGATAATTTGTTTATTTCGGTTTGTGTTATTGCTGCTGACATTTGAATTTATGAGTACGATAGAGTTATAGACATAATGTTCTAGAAGAAGCCAGCTTATAAATTGGGTGGTCTTTGACTTCTAGTCCACATTTTAAATTTGAATTTGACGTTTCCTGTTAAGTTACATCACCACGAGCTGTAGTTGATTTTGTTAGCATAAGAACGTACAGTTATATTCTATGTTCTGTTTAAATAAAGAAGTTTATTTAAATCTTTATCCTACTATATATTTAATTTCAGACTTGGCAATAATTTGCTTTGCATTTGTCAGGGGGTTTTGGACTATTTAACTTTTACCAGATCAAGCGAAACCTCATAGGTTTATTGTCAAACCATTGACATGTTAGGAGATGAAGCAAAAACTAGTGATAGCATTGGTTTGCATAATATGGACACAAATTTCTTATTGTGAGAAAAGTTGCTTAAAAGGAAGGATATTGATATGAATTAGTCAAAAAAATACACATAAATATTTTGTAGTACAATTATGTTTTGTATTAGCATTTAATGTATATCCTGATATCATTTAAGAATCAGTGTCATAAATTATGTGTGTTTTAAACTGTGAAATGTTGTTAGTTTGTGATTTTAATAGTTCTTTTTTAAAAAATATTTTCAAAAAAGTAAATAAAGTTTAATAGTGATCTTGTAAATCTATAATGACTAAGGGTATCTAACTATCTAATTTAATTATTTATAACTAATTGCCCACCCTTAAAAGTTATCTTTGTATTTTAAAGCAATTTATTGCCTTTAATTAATCCTTACTGTGGTCACAAGATACAATACAAAAATGTAAAACATATTCCTTACAGCTAGTGAGGCTTAAAATAACAAAAAACAGCTTATCACCTGTGATGCTTTAGTGGCTTATTGGAACTTTACCTGGTTACAACTCTAGGAACTGTATAGGAAGCTATGATGCTAACTGTGTCAGACAGACAAAGCATAACTAACTTTCAAAACTTCCCAAACATGCCAAAATCGGGCATTTAGGTCTGTTCTGATTAATAGGTCTCTCTCTTGGCATGCAACAGCCAGTCTTCTGCTGCAGATCATGCTGATTATGATTTTAGTTCACATTTTAACCTGTGCCAATTGACATAAAATCTGCTTGCTGTTTATTAAACCTCTACACAATAAGTGCATGATGAAATGAAACATAAAAGAAAAAATCAACATAAAGCTGTTTTTTAAAACGTAAATAAAATGTCACTAATCTTTTTTAAAATATGTTTGACTATTATAAGTGTAAAATATTTAATGTTATTTGATAAATTTTACAAAATTGATTTTATTGTCAAATTTGTTTTATAGTTAATTTATTAAATTGTGTTTAATATAACACATCCTACTTAAAGATCTGTTTTATTCTTAGGACGATATTACAAAAATGAAGCTCAAGCATAGATAATACCTTTAATTGAATTATTCAGCTCTATTTGTTGATAGGTCCTTAATTTGTTTTCACTAATGGTCCTTAATTTCCATATGCAAAAATGTGTATGAACCCTGTAATAAGACTTATTAATTATGCAATATTTGTTACATAAAAAATCTATTTTCCAGTTTGGGAAGTTTATAAACGAGATTTAATTTTAGGAAACGTTAATTGCCTAATTAATTGCCTTTCGGTTTTTCACATCTTATTTGGTGTCTTTGGCAAAAAGTAATTAGTTATTTATTTATTTTCCCAGTTACATTCAGAGAAATTTTTGTTGCCTATAATTTATTATAAAATTTTCTTTTATTGTCAATTAACATTTATATAAATATTAAGCCTATCAAGATATAACGGCATCAGCCAATAAATTCAAATTCTAATGTTCTAGATTCAAAGTCAAATGATTTACATGGCAAAATGCCTAGATTATTGTCATCTTTATCAGTCCCTCTCATGTAGCCTTAGCATTTGTATATAATCAGGCTAAAATTAATGGAGTTGAACAACAAATATACATTTACATTTAGAAGCTCTTAATTTTACTTTGTATTCTAAATATCAGAAATAAGTCCTGGTTTGTAAATATGTGATATTAATAGATCGAAAAATCCAAAATTTTTTTTTAAATAAAAATTTTTTATTTTTCTGTTACTATTTATTTTGGGGGAGTAGATAATTTTAATTCTGCTGTTTATTTTATTTTATGACTTCTGTAGCAACTGAGTTCTAAACATGAACTTATTACTATTATTATTGTAGGGGTCGTATGTTAATCGCAAAGACATTCAAGAACCAGAGCCTGAAGTTGTGAGATTCAATTCAGACATAGCAAAGATTGATGAAACCTTGACACCAGTGTTACAGCCTAAAAAGATTAAGTAATTATAATTACATTTGGATTTCATTTTTTTTTTAATATTGTATAAAAATTATTATATATTTATTTTTTCATCATCACTTTTCTCTCCTTCCTTAAAGGTACATTTTTGAGGGATTAGGAGAGCTGTTATCCACAATATTAATCAACTGTGTATCCAACATAAAGAAAATCAATGAAAACGGAGTTTAAAAAAATGTTTGTATTGATTTTTTTAATTATAATTTAATTTAAATTATTTCTTTTTACACCTTTGCTTTTTCTCCATAAATGAAACCATTAAAAAAATGCAAATTGTGTAATAAAATATGCAAATTGTGTAACCATTTTTTAGAATATAATATTAATGTGTTTTTATTTTTAGGGGCCGAAATATCTTTGCTATACAGCAAAATTTAGCTGGAATAACTATGACAAGAGAAGTAGCTCTAGACAGAGCTCGACAATACTTTGATCTTCTAAATCACAGCTTTGAGGTCAGCATAAACTTTGTTATAATTTTTCTGTATTAATGTAAGTGTAACCGCTTGATAAGTTATTCCGAGTTAATTTGGTCGTCGAAAAATGTCACAAAATAACTTGCGATTCATGGCTCATGACAGACTTTTTATATTTATTCCAAATAAACTCACAGTATGTGTTGTGGCTATGCTGGTGATCTTCACGATATTTTGTTATGAGAATATATGAGTTTTATGCCACGCCTGTTTTAAGGCAGCATCCCGACACTTCTCCACCTGTGTAAGAGGCTGTTTTAATCTCTATGAAGTGTGTTAGATTAGTAATTCAGCCTGTTTTTACAATTTGGCATGAAATATATGAATTAGAGCTTGTAATTTCATTCATTCTAAAAATTTTATAGAAACAGAATTTGTAGATTGTAACAGTTCTTCATATATAGTGATATGATTCAAGGTCTACCATACTGTTTCTAATTTGAACTTTTTTTTTTTTTTTTTTTTTTTTTTTTTAGCTTTCATGTTATATTTCTTTTCGATCATTTCTGTCACATTTTTTCTATATAGATAAATATTCAATTTATGAATGTTAAAATTCAAAAGTATTTCAGAATTATTTTTTTGTGTTTATCTTAACAAAAACACACTAATGAGTTAACTCAGAATAATTACTTACCATTTATTTTGTGTCATAAAGATATTAAAAAATACAAAAAAAAAAAAAAACATTTTAATATTTGTAGAATCGTTTATGTTTTGGTGCACTAAATAAAAGTACATACCAAAAAAAAAAGGATAATTCTTTCACAGAAACTGAAAAATAAAGTGTTAAGGGAGTTAATACCTGGTTATAACTATAGTTTTTCACCAAAAACCATTCTTAATAAAGTTTTAAAAAAAATTAAAGCAGGACCTTTAGTGCTGATAATAATAACCACCCACATCTTAGTTAGAAATAAAAGAGTTTATAATCATTTCATACAAATGTAGTTGTAGTAAAAGTTTTCCACCAAAAAAAACATTCCTCATAAAGTTAGAAATAAAAAACATGAAAGCAATACCTTTAGTGCAGCTAGTAATCACCACCCAAATCTATGATTTTGTGCCAACGTTTTGGTAGTTTTTCAAAGCCTTCGGCCCAGAAACTTGGTGGCCACAAGTCCGAAAACGGATCAGCCTCATTTCCGATGTCCTATGCAAAATGGAAGATAGCACCAACAAGATGTAGCTGCAAGTGTAAAAGCAGGTAGAAGTCCAGAGGAGCGATTGCAGGGCTATATGATGTGTGTAGACAAAGATCCCATTCAAGTCTGTACAGAGTCCAGCCACTGAATGCAGATATATGTGGTCTTGCATTATCTTGATGAAACATTACCTTTTTGCGCCAGAATTCAGTTCAATGTTTTTCTTTGATTACAGCATCAACATGGACTAGCATCTCACTGTACACCTTAGTGTTGATGGTTTTACCTTTTTCTAGATACTGTTGGTGGATACCACAACAAATTCCACCAGATACAAAAAATGATCTTATTGTTAGTCAAATTGCATTTTGCGATGCTGCCGATGAGCTCACTAGGCGTAGGCCAACCCCATTTTCAGCCTGTGTTGTTCAGTAAACCCACTTTTCATCATAAATGATGATTCTATCTAGAATTTTGTCCTTGTATTGATATTCGAGCATATTAATACAGGCCTGAACACAGGCTTATCTGCTTAACTCAGCTCATGCGGCACTAGCGATTGAACTTGTACATCAAGTTTATACGATGCATAGCATGACTAATAGACATGGCACTAACATCTTACTCCTTAGCAAGCTGTTGAGTGGTTACATATTGATTTTCTTTTACAAGTTCTCGCAGGGAGGCCTCATCACCATCAGTAGGCCAGAGCGCTCTGCTTCTTGAATGTCATAGTCATTGTTTTTGAACTTTCGGTACCTATCATTCATAGTGTCATGTGATACAACATTAGTACCTAAAGCTGTACACGTGATTTGGTGACATTTTGTAGCTGATGCTTTGCAACAGAACTGGAAATAAATAATGGTTCTAATCTGGTAACATGATAGTTCCTTTTCAGACACCTTGTACTTAATGATAACAATATTTTTATACAAATTTCACAGTATTCTAAAGCAAGTTTCTTTCTTTCAAATGCCAAAAATCATTTGGCAAAATATGAATAAACACGCCAGTGTGAACTGTTTGCACAGATGATATTTGCAGTGGCAGGAAACTTTCATTAAAACCTGATATCAGTTCTTTAATTTAGTGTTATGCATCTTAAGGTCTGAATTTTCTATTATTGCAATAACTATAAAGGAATTTCTTTAAACACATTTGCATAATTAATTATGTAAAAAAAAGTCTCTGTGTGTATTTTGTTCACTGCTCTTTTTTTATTTTAAACGCTACATTTTATCTTTAGAAATATATTTGCATTAATTTCTATTTGTTCAGTATGGTTTAAAGTTTATATTAAGAAATTTTAATCCTTAGCCAAGACTGATAAAATATCTAATTTTATAACTCTAGGATATTTTAAATCAAATAGTTGAAGAAGGGCCTCAATTTCAAGAACATGAATATTCTGCTGTTATTCAGCTGCTACACAATAGTAGAGAAGGAATGTATGAACAGGAACCACTTAACAGTTACCTTGAAAAGTTACGTCAAATCCTAGATGAAGTTGCTGTATCTGTTTAAAGTTTCGAGGACTTAAATTTAAAACACATGTGGGACCATCTATTTAATAGTATTTCTTATATGTATGAGTGTATGTGAATAATAATGATTGAATGCATCTGAATGATAATGTTATTGATATATTAATTTATTGATTTATTTCTCATATTCTCTGTATATTTTGTTAAGCACTGATAATCAAAGGGCAAACATTTTTATTTTCTTATAGTCTAATTTAGGATAATGACAATGTATATTATCTTTGGTATTTGTATTAAACAAATATTAAATTTACAAAACTGTATTTTTAATATATATTTTATGTAATTTTATATATGATGGTGTTTAAATCATTCACTGTTATGCTTTGAATTCACAATTAATACTCCAGAATCTAATAGATATTATTGAATTATTAAAATGAGGCATGTTCATTGTGTCTGAAATCTGATTAAGGCATATTTATTTCTCTGCTTTTCTGCATCTTTGCTCTTTTCAACATAAAGTATGCTGCAGGTTAAGTATGTTAAAATTTTGATAACATATATATGTATATATTAAAAATATTGATAATTTGTACATGTATGCCATTTATTGTATAATATATGTATATCATGTATTAGTATTTAATTTATAAATTTGTTATATCAAAAGAAATCATTCTTGTAACAGAGCGATAAAAATATATATGAATGTAGTAGTTCTGGAAACTAATTTGTCAAAATTTTAGATATTTGAATGGATTTTAAGTTTCAGTGGACCAATATAGTTTTCATAAAAATCATAGGTTTTGAAATTTTTGTGTTCTCTATATAATGTAATGTCAACCAAGAGCAAATTTTGATTGTTCAGTTATTTTGCATAGTTTTATATATATATATATATATATTAATTTTATTTTATTTGCAATCTTTTCATATTTCTAAGATTTCATTTTTTAATTCATAGAACTAATTTATTATTAATGCAACTGAATTTATAAAATAATAAAATGTTTTACCCTCAGTTTTTATCATGAAATGTCATAATTATGTCTTAAAACTTGGTTTAAATTATCATATACCATCATATTCCAATGAGGGTCAGTTTATTCTTTTTGATAGAGTAAGATGATTAATTATGCAAATTGCTATATAAAAGTCATAAATATATTTTAAGAAAGATTCAACATTTAGATGAAATAAGGAATTTTAATTAATAAAAATGAAAAGTCATACTAATTATGCAAGCCATTCTTGAAACACGGCTGCAAGATTTATTTCTTTAATTACCAATCATTTACTAATTCAGAAGTCAAACAACAAAAATCAGCGTTAATTTACAAAATATATTATATTGTGTCTAATTACCAATCATTTGCATTATATTGTGTCTTAATTACCAATCATTTGCATTTAGTTTTGTTTACAAAATTTTTTCTATTACTATGTACAGAGTTTTATGTAAATAGGTTCATTCAGTACTGTGATTAGTACAATTTTGAATTTTTCTTTAATTTTTTACATAGTGTGAAAATCTTTTTAGAAATTGTTCATTGGGGGTAAGAATTCCATATTTTTATGTGCAAAATTTATTATACTCTTAAAAAATAAACTTCCTTACTTTTCTGTACATGTTATTGACCAGGTAGTTGTAAAGTTTCTCTAAATCTGAGGGAGCAGTTACTAAATAAATCAAGGTTAGGGAAACCATATTGAGTAAAACAGAGCTAATTATTTATTTTTAGCTAGTTCCAAACAATTCTTAATTATTGGATGTTGCACATATTCTCAATGAACTGTGCATATAAAGGTGCCTAACTTCTTTGCATCTAACTTAATATAGCATTATGAATATTTCTTTAACTTGCTTAGTATTTTGGATTTTGGGAGTGATGAAGAGCTGTATTTACTATTACTCATATTGTAGTTTGTTTTTGTAGCTTTTCATTCATTAGGGTAATATTTAGATCATTAATAAATGTAAAGAAACCAAATATGTTAAATTATAAATTAATCCATTCTAAGGGACAACAAATTTTATAACTGAATGGATAAAAGTAATAATGTTGCTTCGAGGATTAACTGGGCCCTTTTGCTTAAGCTTCAGAAGCATTCTGCCCACAAAGCTGAAATTGTTTTCATAAAATTCCTTATCTTATTTAAAGAAACATTATAATTGAAAGTACATGCATAAGATCAATAGTCAAGTAATTAAAACTTGTACCACAATTCTGCACGATACATTTTCTGGACACCTAATAAATAGTATAAAAAAGCGTAATAATAACTTACTGCACTGAATGGCAAAGTAAAATGAAATTCTTACTTTTTCTTGCCCCCCCTCCCCCCTCCCTTCGTAATTTTCTTCAAACCTATGAATTGAATTCAACCTTGAACATGTGGGCATAACAATTTATTTTTTGGCTATTCACAATTAGAAATTTTATTATACTTGCACCATAGTTAATCACCATTGCCTGGAGAAAATACTAAAACCAAAAGTAAATTATAACACCAGCTATTGACCAAGTTTTTATCAACCTTTATCACCTTATATAATAAAATAAAGTAAGCAGGTCATCATACATTTAAAAAATATAAACTTAAATCTGAAAGATAAGAAAAAGAAAGTTTTTCTACAGTGACATAACAGCATATGTTCCATATAAGTGCTGATATCATTTTGATACCAGTAATTAAACCTTGAAACTTCTGAAGATAATTATAGTTAAGTTTATTTTGTAATATTTTCTCTAATTAATCAGTTTAATAATTTAACATGATTAAATTAATTAATCATAATTAGTAAATTAATTAATCATAATTAGTAAATTAATGAAATGAATTTATCACAAATTAATAACATTAGTTTAATTATTTAACATTTTTTACTGTTAAGAAAAATGTAGTTTGTAAATTAGATAGGTACATTTAAAATTTCACAAAGCAAACATTCTTTAATTATTTTGATAATATAATATTTAAATAGACATTAATATTAATTTAATAAATATAAATTATATTACATAAATATCTTATTTTTAATTATAATAGCTATAAGATTTTTTTCGGCTTTTCTTTGCATAAAAATTGTGTTTTATTTGTAGCATTTTGCCACATTTTAATTTCGCATTTTTTTGCAGAGAGCATTTTTAGCTGATATAAACACAAAATTTTTTATGCTTATCCCAGTTTTATTTTAATAATGTGAACACAATTCCTATCATGTATGATTCTTCTGTGAAGTATATTTTCCTGCTATAAATTTGTGTGACATATATTTGTAACAGATACCCTAATTCGTCATTCAACCAGAGCATTTATTCTGGGTCATGAGATGCCTAAACAATTGTAACTCATCCACAGAACTTTAATTTCCTGCAGTGGGTCATGTGATCAGATGAAAAACTAGTTACATTGCTTACGTGAACAGTGTGGCATCAAGATTATTACTTATATTTTTGTGTGTGTAGTTTCAAGAATAAAGTGTGTTCATCATACTTTATTAATGTTAATTATGGCTCTTGTATATAATGTAATATAATTATATATAATCGATATATAACATAATAGATATACATTTTGTGCTTCTAGTATCAAAAATGCTTTAAGTGATGCAAAAATTCATGTTTTAACATTTTTAAATTTAAATAACCAATTTTGTGAAAATTAAACTTTTTATATGGTCCCTCAGTCCCTATAAGTATTAAGAAAATTGTATACTACTTATAAAAAAAATAAAACACAATCACTACTGTACAGTAAGAATTTACCATGATATTTAATTTCAAAATCTTGTATTTTTGATGTAGTTTTCAGCTTAACTTGAGGGGTTAATTAAAAAGAAATTAGAACAGCTCTAGCTTGATTTTTTTTTCCTTTAAAGATCATTCAGTGATATTCTTTTGTGATTAACAAGAGCATAATGTTATTCTTTTGTGATTAACAAGTGCAGAATGTTCTTTAATTTAAAATGTTATATATTGGCCAAAAGAATTTTTGCCAAAGTAATTTCAAAGTTTTCAAATAATATTCTAATCCAGTTTTATTATTTTAGAATAATAATCTAAAAAGCGTACCAAATAGTTCATATAGTTAACACGAACAGAGATAACATGAATACAAGCCAGTTTCCTTTAAAAAGTCCTCTGCGAAGATGTTCCTCACTTTAGGTAGATAGTACTGTTGTGCTTTGCCATATTCAAATAACCTAACCTAATCATCCAAGGTAATACAGATATGTCTTGTATCTCTGTATTTCATTTTTCGAGATATTGTTTCATTATCAAGTCTCATTTTGACGAGAAATTTAACAGATGTAAAAAATTTCATGTGAACAATATTAGACGAAAATAGAATAGAGACGAAAGTTCTGCTTTTGAAGGATCACGTGATCCCAATCTGAGCGATAATCGATTACTGTTTGGCGTTCAGGTCTTTTTAGTAAGTGAAAATGGTAACCTAGCTACGTTGTTTTCCTGGAATTGTGCGGGTTCTGAGAATTGTCCCCTTCGACGTCATGTTCTGTGTAGCCGAAACATAATCTGTTTGGGACCTCAGTCAACATCACTAACCACTATACGGGTTGAGTGGCAGTATGTTATAGCAATTGAAACTACCTACTTCCTTATCACTACTCACCCTCAAATGTTATATTTTCTGTGTATATGAGTTATTCTTATTTCCCATTGATAATTTTCAAGCATGAGTCATTGAAAACCATTGATTTTTACTTTTTGGAATAATCAAGTTATAAATCTGTGCAAGTTCATTTTCAGCAGTCGAGGTAATTTAAGTATTTTAACATTTAAGATTGTTAAATGTTCCACCCTCATCATTGTGAAAATTGAATAAGAAACATTTTAATAATAATTTTGACAATGTAAAATGGCCCTTCAAAAATTGAATCCTTGAAATGAAAATTTTTTAATAATTAGTGTGTGAACTAAAGCAAAGGTCCATCCTAATTTGTGTAGCTAGTTTTCTGCTTATCTTCATCGATAGTTTTGAGATTTTTTTTAATTTAAATTTCGAATTCTGTATGTAAGTCTTAAAATCTTTTATAGCAAGGACAGGAAAAAGTCAACAGAGCACCAGAACTTCTATGAATTTACAGGTATTGCATACTACTGTACTAGAGCAATACCCATCATACTATTGTATTAGAGCCTATACTACTGTTCTGCTCCTCGTTTGTGTGTCCCAGCCCAGAAAGGAATCCATCACGCAGTCTTCTCACCTTTTTCACACCAGATGGTCCCTTCTTGTTAATATATCGTAATAAGTCTGTACCTGTTAGTGTTTATTTTGTAGTACCGCAGGGGATTGAGGTTATTGCTGAACCTAACTAACTACTATTAAGCTTCTGCTCCAATTTTCTTTTGCCCTAGCTAACTATTGAGCTTATGTCCCGATTCTGAGTACCTTTCAAAAGAACTTCTGGCTCGCCATATATTTTAAATGCCCCTTTACCACACAGACACTATGTAGTTAAAAATAATCTTACCTTTCTGTTATTCATACACAGGCCAAATGGTACAGTAGCCAGCATTGCTAACTGCTGTGCGAATCAAAGTGGTTGCAATAGCCAATCGTTTCCACAATTGGCCATTTCTACTATTTAAGGTGTGAACAAGGGGAATGTGTTGTAGCATACAAAATATTTGTTTTCATGTGCTTCGTATTATAGAAAAAAGCAGTTACATCACACATTTTTAGCAAGCAACATGTTTTTTGCTAGAGTCAATATGAAATGAGAGTTTTGTGTTTTGTCAAATTCCGGTTGCAAACATCCTTGCCTTCGGCATTCGAACCTAGCCCCATCATCAAGAGGTTATCACATATGGTTACAGTCCGTGCTAGATGGCACTTTTCTGAGGAATTAAATTCTGGTAACACTGATTTAAACGGGAGGATTCCTAGAAAAAAAGAGCCCCGCTCGAAGCGAAGTCCCGCCTAGATACGGAAACAATGCTGTGACTACTATGCGGGATTTTTTTCAAATCTCACCAGAAGTGTCTGGGCTGGAGCTCTGTCCCATGTAGAGACGACCAATGAGACGAAAGTTCTGCTTTTGAAGGATCACGTGATCCCAATCTGAGCGATAATCGATTACTGTTTGGCGTTCAGGTCTTTTTAGTAAGTGAAAATGGTAACCTAGCTATGTTGTTTTCCTGGAATTGTGCGGGTTCTGAGAATTGTCCCCTTCGACGTCATGTTCCGTGTAGCCGAAACATAATGTGTTTGGGACCTCAGTCAACATCACTAACCACTATACGGGTTGAGTGGCAGTATGTTATAGCAATTGAAACTACCTACTTCTTTATCACTACTCACCCTCAAATGTTATATTTTCTGTGTATATGAGTTATTCTTATTTCCCATTGATAATTTTCAAGCATGAGTCATTGAAATCCGTTGATTTTTACTTTTTGAAATAATCAAGTTATAAATCTGTGCGAGTTCATTTTCAGCAGTCGAGGTAATTTAAGTATTTTAACATTTAAGATTGATAAATGTTCCACCCACA